ATATACCGGGTGATCAAGATTCTGAATTCTGCACCACCCTGTATTTGTTTCTTGTTCAGTTGATATAGACAGAACATGGTATTCACTACTACTGAAATCTGAACATGAAAATGGTGAATTCAAGATTAATTAATGAAAACATCCTGTAACTCATTTGATTGTCACCAATTGTCACTGAGAACTGAAAAGTTTCAAGACAGATATGATTTTGCTATTGGAATAACCATTTTTTATGTTGAAAACGGGAACAGATTCGGTCCTGAAACGTCCAAAGATAAGTGAAAAGTCGATATTTTTCTATATACCTTTATTTCTCTTCTTCAAACCTTCTTCCATACAAATCGTCACTGACAAGCTGGTGAATTTTTTCTTTTAGGCTCTCTGATAGGAAAATTCTTTAAACGTAGTGGCATTCTGGGGCATATCATCTGATTTGTCCTTACTACACGTATATTGAAATAATATTCATATTTTTATTTTATTGAAACAAGGAGAGAAAATCTCAAAAAATCTGGAATAATGAATGTATGAGATTATGAACAGATGTTTTCTCAGCCAGGAAGAAATTTTCGATTTGCAGATGCACTAAAATGAAGGTAAAAAGTCTTCAGATACACGATAATCTGCATATTATTATCTCAACTCGGTCAATCATCCCCTAATTGGATGTATTTCGAAGCGATTTCGTCCCAATCAAGAGTCAATTTTACCCAGAGGCTTGCGGTTTTCCTTGCCGAACTGATTTACGTCACTGGGAAAACAATTAACTTTGGATTGTGTTTAACTGCCGAAGCTGCAAATCGTTAACTAGCAGAAGTTCTGTCGAACTTGGAAAAACGAATTATACTGGTTTTCCGTAGTAGGAGAACCGACTGCAAATTTCTTTATCGAACGGCTCCTGTGCCAATCACTATCCTGAGCATAATGATCGTAAAATGACTTTTTTCCCGTCACAGAAAAAACATTATTTATCGAATAATCAAACCTACCTGAAGTTCTTCTCAGGCAAAGCAATTTCTGTTGAAAATATTTCGAATAGGTTTGTAATAAAAAAAAAACATTTCGCGAAAACGATCCTGTATATTCTGAAAGACATTCATCCATCCATTCATGTTTAATTACCTCATCATCTAGTAGTTAATGGATTTTGTATATGATGATTATAATAAAGTATGTTTATGTGTCTAAGAGCACAGCTTTCAGAAAGTTCAATTCTATCAAACAGCTAGTTCAAAGAAATGGAAAACCCAAATAAATTTGCATCAGTTGCATCGTAAAGCCCTGTTTATTTATGAGATTATCCTTGGTTTCCATGATATCAGAAAAATGCGGTGAGATTACTTCATAAACAAACATGTTCTGTTCCACATTTTTAATAAACATACATAGATATACCAAAATACGTAGAATATGAAAATTTTGTTAGTTGGTATTTATTCACTCAATGAGACAGGGATGTTCAGATTATTCCGTTTCAATCAAAAGTAATACAAAAAAAACAACTACCTAAAATCAGCATGTTACAATGTCGTATTGAACACATTGGTGAAATATTTTCACATCACCGCAATATTGGGTAAATTTTCGTAGTTTTATTGCTCATAAAATGTTGAATCAATATTTGCGAAGATTTGGAAATATTGGTGCAATATTATAGTTGAAAATATTGGTATCATTAAAAATTGTTACGTTGCTATGTTATCTTGAATATTGGTAGAATATTTTCATGCCAATATTGGCGAGCCATGAAATGTGAACATTTGGTGATATTCATGATTAACTCCTTCGTTAGGTAGATATAAGTATGCTTTTCAATCTACTCGAGCCAATATTTATGTTCTCCTGTCTGACCAGCACTGAGAGTACGTTAACAATCATTGATAGCGCCATCTAATGACATAAGTTTGAGAGTGATATTAAATAAATATCGAAATGCCGATATCGATATGTATGTTCAGAACAATATGTTACCGATAAGCAATTCAACTTGAAAAACCAATATTGTTTTTCTCTTTTATCACCGATATAAAGAGAAATATTGAATGGCCGATGAAAATATATTCATTTATGAAACAGTATTCATTCGATATCTTCCTTATGATATCGTTAAAACAAAATCAATCAATATAGATCAATATGATGTTCCAAATATTGTTGAAACAATATTCAACCAATCTGCCGTCGAACTCGAATATACAATATTGCATAACCGCTTCAGAATTTTTTTATCTCGGAGCGCACGGAGAAGAGGTAGGTGTTGGAATTTTTTTTAACTTCTGGAAGTTGTAAGTTCTTGGGAATACTTCTATTTACAAAGAATTCCAAAGCTTCGACATGCGGGGAATGTTCAAATTGTGATATTGCTTATAATTGTTGGTAACAATATGTATACGATGTTGTTGCATCGACATTTGAGAAACAATATTATATAATATTCCTATTTATGTTTCTCCACATATTGTGAACAAACATTCCAACCAATATTGATTCAATATTGTAGCTGACAATCCACATTTAGCTCAGGTTGAACCAATATTCTGCCGATATCATCATTCCAATATTGTATTTTCAGTTTACTCTCATATTGGAGCAATATTATCTTACATTTGCAAAATATCTATATTGGCCCAACATAAAAACAGTATCCAGCCAATTTGATGTGTTACCTGAGATAGTTGTGAAGACTATATGGCAGTTACTTTAAGTAGTTATATAGTATATAAGAGCCTGTATATGAAAATTTATGAAGTCCAAATCACGTTATTCCAGTTTTACCATTTCGGGAAAGCTTTTGACCTTACATAGATATCTCATGATCTACCTTCGAAAGCTCTGGAACAATAAACAAGCTTGAGATGATTCATCATTATGGCTTTCGATGCTGAATCGATCTGGACACTTCATTGCTTCGAGGTATCCCATTCTGAGATCCTAGTATCCCTGTGATAGGCCTTTCCGACCCTTGTCATGGTTTCATCCATTAACTCCCAGGTAGACAGATAATGGAATAAGGGGATTGAATTCACACTATCCTGGGATGCGACATCCCATCACGATTAATTCCTAACTAGATTAGGAATGGTGTAGGCAGGGTTACAAGACCCAAGACTTATCTCAAAAACACTATACGTGTTTTTGGATGTATGAGAAATTGATATTCATCATACAGGATGTGGAAAGAAATTTTCAATTGAGAAGAACCAATCACGAATCTGCGATTGAAGGTCTATCAAAATATAACAAGTTTCCGTCGTTCAAGCTTGAACAACTTGATTGGGTGAAAGTATATAGAGAAATACATCGAGAATTCGCATTCTCTATGTGATGAAAATATAAATTCTTTCTCGGTTTATTCAACAGAAAAAAACTACTTTCCTAGCTATATGCCACGACGAACATTGAATTATATCTATTGAACACACGTACGATAAGAATTTGGAAACAAAATCTTCTGAAGTATAGAATTTGCATTCACCTTATATTATTCTGAATAGTCAACAGAAAACAACTACTCACCTGGCTATTTGCCACGTCGAACATTGAATTATACCTGTTGAACATCTGAAAAGAGATCATGAAAAATGAAAATCCTCTGAAATTTAGAATTGACATCATCTCTCAGATCGGACGAATAATATGATGTATTATGATTTGAAAATATGACTTACATGTTCAGTATTGAAATGAATGCAAATTCTATTCTTTAGATTTTAGAATATTGTGTTTTCAAATTCTTATCGTGTGTGTAAACTCAATGGGTGTGACGGCGCAATATCGAAACTCCTTTCTCTCTCACACTCAATGAGCTTATGGAAACTTCGAACGCAAATATCTTGACCACTTGACCCCCCCATTTGAGCTTTGATGGTAACATCTACCCCTAGGGGTTGTACCAGGAGGGCTAAAAATTCATTCTAAGTGTCCCCCATGAAAATAAAATTGACCTGTCTTTTCGATTTCTCATATTATTCACTGAAAGAAATATATTGAGGGTGGGAAATTGTATACAGCCTCACTGCAATCATGGTATGTCACAACGAGCTTCCATATCGATAATCATTCGGGGGAAATCCATGAAAATATGCATATTTCAAAATACACTCTCTTCTAAAATTGTGTTGTTCTAAAATTGTTCAGCCAAGGTGGCCAGGTAGCCGTGCGGACAGAGTGTCTATATTCTAATTCGCATTCGCTTGCCGGTCGTGGGTTCGATCCCCGTCGACTGCAGAAATTTTTCTGATGGCCCAAGAAAGTGTTTGGGATCACACGTTAAAAGGTAAGGCCCCCGTCATTCCTTGCTCGCACAAGACTTTCGAAGACTTTTGAGGGTTGCTCGTAAGGGCGCAACCGAATGACGGATAGAACAAATTTTAGAACAAAACAAAAATTTTTTTTAGGAGGGCTAAAAATTCATTCTAAGTGTCCCTCTTGAAAATAAAATTATTAAAATTATTCACTGAAAGAAAGATATTGAGGGAGAAAAATTGTATACCGCATCACTGCAATCATGGTATACAGGGTATGTCACAACGAGCTCACGCTATCTCTATATCGATAATCATTCCGGAGAAACCCATGAAAATATGCATATTTCAAAATACGCTCTCTTCATTTGAAATAATTTCAGCAATGCAGTGTTGCCGCTTCTATCATAGAGTAGCAACAACAACTTTGTTATTTCAAATAGAATACCCTGTATTTCATTGCATCATTATATCCTCCCTTAAGAGCTGATTTCATCGATACATCACACTTGGGGTCTATCGGAAATGATTACAGAGATATAGGGTGTTCAAAATCGAGATTTTTCAACTTTAGGAGTTGTTTGTGTCGAAAATATTCGTTATCGGCCAAAATGGCTAACATGTCCCTATCTCAACTTCTGATTTACTATTTACTGATATTTAATCGGAACAGATACAGGGTGATCAGATTTTTGAATTTCGAATGTTCAATTTTGAGAGACTTGAGGCTATTTTGACGTATTTTTTTTGTTTCAGAAAAAGGCGTCAATCCACAGGGGATATGTACTGACGGTTACTTCCAGTGTACCAACGACACTTTTTGTGTGCCCCAAAACCAAAATTGCGACGGAAAAGTTGATTGCCCAGAAGGTAGTGACGAACAAAATTGCGGTAAGCCTACTATAATAATTTCTTTCATATTATAAATGGATGATAATATCGTTAAGACAAAAAGTTCGTTCAAACATAACACAGTATAAAATTAACGTAGTGTGACGCTTTATACCGTCTTGAGATCCAAACATCCAACACTGAATAGTGTTAAATCGACCATCTTGGTTATTAGTTACATTTTGAAAACTAATCTAGAATCAATTAAGTATTACATCATCAGTGTTTTCTGTTGAGATGAAATAAAAATATCTCTCAATAAATTGAGTTACACACTCTGAACACACGAGCTTCAACCCTAAAACGGTGTCTCCCATTTTCATACCAATTCCTACTGTATACACAGTGTACACAGTATAAAATTAACATCTAACAGTGAATAGTGTTAAATTGAAATAGACCATATTCATTACACTTTGGAATCAAACAACGAAAAACAATTCATTTTATCATCAAAGTTTCATTATCAGTATTTCTTCTGATTAATTGAAATGAGACTAACTCCCAATAAATTGAAAAACCATCTGAACTCACAAGCTTGAAGCCCAAATCAGTGTGTCCTATTTTGATACCAATTTCTACTGAGTAGGTTCGTTTTCCTTCTGATTTTGATAATTTTTCAAACTGGCAAAACACATACATAGTGGAGAGAAGAAAATATCAACCAGTATCGTATCGAAACAATTGTTGAAATCTCCATCAAAACGGACATCATATCTTTACTTATATGACCAGTTTATTTGGAAATCATAGATGCTCTAAAAACATCACTATTAACATTCATTATTCATTTAGGAAAGATCCTTTTCAATGAAGGTCCTAAAATTGGATAACCAAACGGTCAATTGAAAATACTTCCGTATATTTTCGTATTTGATTTCCGATATATAGTGTGAAACATTTTCTGAGACTTCTTCGATTTTTGCAGACGACCAACATGATGATGATTATTGGGATCACCTGTATAGAAAAAGACCAGCAGCTGAACATGACGATTGGAATGGCAATAATTGTTGTGAGTATAAGGATTTTTTTTTCGATTTTTTTTTAATACTAATTTCAATTTGTTTTTGCTCACATAGCTCTCTCCTATTTTGGAAAATGTACTTGCAGAAAATCAGACATTTTGTGCGATTATAAAAACTATGAGGAAGCGCCTGATGATCTACCAGAAGAAAATATCAATATTTTGTAAGTTGATGTCTTGAAACAAAAAAGGCATATTTAATCTCGATATTTTTTTTCGTTCACAGGGATTTTACTGGAAACAACTTCAAGAATATCACACGTGATTCTTTGAAGAACATTCCTGATAGCGTAGAAAAGTTGTAAGTATACTTCAAATGAATTATAAGATCTGGGTATACAGAGTGTTACACCACCATTTCTCGTGAACTCTTATAAGAACAAAATTTGTGTTATGGAATGGCAAAGCTGTTTTAATTCGTAAATTCCCAATGAACTTTACATATCATGATAGCCCTAGCAGTAGGTATTATTTACTCAGTTTCAGCTTATACGTTTTTAGAAACAATTTTCGTCATATTTTGTTCTCAGAGTAATTGATACTGTTTCCATGCAATCAACATCGAATTCGTTTTCCTTGTACCTGAATAACCTTTGTCTTTGTCGTCCTCCTCTAGCTTCTTCCATACGAATACTAGCTCTCTTCTGGTCGAATCGAAAAACATACCTCAAATTCGTAATCTGCGACCCCAAAAACCCCCGCATACAATATTTCAAGCTTCTAGGTCGATTTTCCACCATAGCTGTCACTTGTCAACAGCTCTCACCTGTCATGATACGAAAAACCACTATATCTCGGTAACCGAAAGAGATTAATATGTCTAGTATGGTGTCAAACGAAAGGTCTTGATGAGCTTTATCGATTGGCACTAAGGACAAAATAAGTATTCTGATTCAGCAATAGCTGAACTGCATTAAAATTGGAAGAGATATGCTGCAATCATTCAATACTTCCCATGGATTTGACAATGGTGATAATTTTGTTCAGGTGATTAATGTTTATTCGGTGTATTTTGGGTTATAGCTCGACGAATTGTGGTGCGATATCCTCGTACTAAATCCTTCAGTTTGTGAACCGAAAATTTATATTCGCAGGAATTTCGCAGTCAAATGGAATAGATACGACTGCTTTGATTACCTGATTCACATCATTGCGAACGTTTGAAGCTGATTCGGCTGATTATATCGGAACCGTTGATTGAACATTTAACGAGTGACATATGACTTTTGATTTCCTGTTAATCTTGTTATTGAGAAACATCAAAGAAATTTCTAAATACCTATAAGCAATGGAAAAACTGTAATCAATACAGTGTTCCATATAGACTATCCCGCGTCACACTCAAGAATCTTCTGACCTAGATATTTGATATTTTTCAGAGATGATTTTTTTTTTTGGTTCAAGAAGAAGAATGTCATTCGATATTCCGAATATTATTAGCTGAACCATTTCAGAATCTTCCAATTATGCCATCATTTGTTGCTCATATGGACTTTTTTATAACTCCAGGGTTCTGCTAGGTTCATATGAAACTAGCAGAACCATTCACTTGTTGTTGTTGTTGTTCTTTATTACCCCAAGAAACATATTTGTTTATAATAGGGATACATAAACATATGATATATATATATATATATATATATATATATAAAACAATAAAAAAAAACTAATTAACAAGTTATGTCAATATAACATAATAATTAAAATAAAACCATTCCAAGTATTCAAATGAGAATAAATTGCTCCGTTTATTGTGTCATGAGTATATATTTTTTCATATTGACTTTGAATCTCGTTTCATCATCAATATGTTTCAAATCATAAGGTAATGAATTATATAAAATGATTCCGTTGTAGAATACTGATTGTTTGCCAATGATGAAGTTATATGGGTTTGCTATTAATGAATTCAACTGTCTCGTTGCATGAGTATGAATTGTATTTACTTCAGTAAAGTTCAAGTTGGATATTTTTATTTTTTTTTCTCACAAAATGGATGAAAGAACAAATTTTCATTTTATATAAAGATGATAAATTCAACAGATTTTTTGGTTTGTAAAGATTAATAGTTGGTTCCAGGTAATGTAAATTGTAAATGCACTTAATTGTTTTATTTTGTAATTTCATTAATGGTTTCAAATGTGATATACTTGTGCTTTCCCAAATTGATATTAAATATTGTAATTTTGAGTAAATCAGACAGACATATATATTCTTCAAATATCTAAGAGGAATGAAATTTCGAATTTTGTATAAAATGCCAGTAATTGGATTGAGCTTTGATCTATATGTTTAGTCCACGATAATTGTTCATCAATATAAAGACCTAAGAATTTTGTAATATCTAAATATTTTATGGCTTTCTGGTTGAAAAATATTGTTGTTTTCGAACTGATGTTAAGAGAGAGAGAGAGAGAAATATACTTTATTGTCTAAGAAACAGTATTTCTTATTGACAAAGCATAGTATTCAGAATTTAATAAAAATGTATAACATAACATAAACATAGACAACTAAATTAATAATATAGAAAAAATAATAAACTTATTAAGAGTGTAAAAGGACAATAAACAGTACACATTAAAAATTGAAGTGAACAATTGTCAAAGCAGATCAATAATATATATACTATTTGAAGTACTACCTACATGTTGAGGTCATAACAGAGTTTCATTATAAAATTCCTCAATATTATAGTAGGCTCTTTTCAGAAGGGCATCTTTCACCAGTTTTCTGAATTTACTATGATCTTTTATAGTTCTTAGTTCAGTTGGTACATGGGTAGAGCAATATTTCTCTCTGTTATTTGTCGTGTCACATGATTTGTTTGTACTGTAGTCTCAGCCATATACTTTTTGTGAATCAGACATACCGTTTCCAATATGAATAAACTTGTCAGAGTGAGAATTCCTAAGTTTGAAAACAGTGGTCTGCATGACTCTCGAATACCTACCTTGCCTAAGTACCTTATAGCACGTTTCTGCAGTACAAACACTGAGTGAAAAAAGTTGTTGGCTACAATATCCCCAGAAAGCTATTCCATATCTCACATATGAGATTCGATCAGAGAGTGATAGACCATCTTTGCTGTAGATGAACTCAATTCATTAGTGACAATTCTAAGAGCCTAACATCCGGATGCCAATTTTTTAGTTAGAGCTGCAACATGCTGATCAAATTTCTATTTCTCGTCTAAAGTTACTCCTACGAATTTTGTAAATTTTTTGTTATCTAGAATTTTTCCGTTTAAGCTCAAATTGTTGCAGTCAAAACTAAAGCCCATTATATTTGTTTTTTGTGAATAAAACACAGATAATTAGCTTGCACCATTGCTGAACCGTTCCCAAGTCTCTAGCAATATTATTTCTTATGTTGTCACAATTTTTTCCGTGCCATAGTAGGTGTCGATGATTGATAACTACTTCAAAAAAATTTGTAGAAAAATCCACGGTTCTCATAAATTGTCGCTATATAATAATTCGTTAATTGATTACTGATTAAATATGCAATATATGAATATATGTATAGATTCGGAATCCTCGTGACATTTCACGTATAGACATACACCTAGATGGTTTCAGTGCAAAATTGAGCAATTTTCAAAATTTGACAGGGAAAATATGCAACTCCATTATGCTTCGAATCTAGGACAAGAATGTGTCTATATAGATTCAGACTCGTGAAATTTCAGGTCGAACTATAGATGGTTTTCAATACAATTGGGAAATTAAGCAAGAACCCCGTACCATTTACATTGAAATCTTGTCTACGGTGAAATTTTGTGAAAATCTAGGATTAGATAGATCAAATCATGCTAAACAAGAAATGTCCTTTGGTCTAAGGTCCGTTATGCTCGTCAACAGAAGTTATAAGCTCTTGAAACCAAACGAGATAACCTCTCTACCAGAACAGCACATCCTGTGTGTAATATAGTTTTGGCTAATATGATATTTTTGAGTTGTCGGATGATGGTCTTTCATGTTATGTCAGTGAAAGTCATCAAGCAAAAGCGTATTACTTTGTTCAAATACATATAAGATGGCTTATCAGAATAGGTTTCGTTGTTTTATATGCAATAGCGAAGGCAATTATGCTATGGCACGCATCGATGGAGATCGAAATTTTGAGCAGCAAGCAATCGCAATCCATAGTCGACAGGTTCTAGGAAGAAGGGATATACCAATGGATATACCCTTAATCGATCGTACTCGTTTATTTCTGAACTGTAATAATTGATCCATTATAGAGGATCTTGGAATTCAGGAGGATAACGTTCATTTTATGAACCTGAATGTTGTCTTTCCCATCCATGCAAGAGTGTGCATATTTTGTGGCGCAAATAATAATTTATTTCACCTATCATTAGTTGCTAGAGTCAATGTATATATTGTAATAGTAGATTGTTTTATTAGGATCAAAGGTGACACCTTGTTTGACAAGCGAATTTTGCATTTGCGAGGCAGAGCGCTGAGCGAAGCCGAGCGAAAGCAAAATTTGCGAGTCGAACAAAGTCACTTTTTATCCAAATGAAACATGCTAATTTTTCTGCAACCGGAACAATTAACTCAAAATATGTGAAGTTACCACCAATGCCGTGCCATATGTATGCATCAATGCAACAAATATTGACAAATAATCCGTGTAGTGAGAACATTCTACCTGCATGAACAGCAGGTTCATTCAATATTCAAGGATGTTCGAATTGTAGTTTCAATATGAATACAATCACAGAGTGACATATTTGTGTATGGACCAGGTGCTCTAATGGCAAATACAGCGCCAGTGCCAGCTATAGGAACAAGACGTGGAAAATGTTAGGTTAGTGAGCATATCAACAATAATAACAGCGACTATTTATACTCCTCTCCATAATACAATGTTTTTCGCTACAATAATAAAAGCGATTATTTACTCATCTCCATAATACAATGTTTTTGGCTTGATAATCAAATGAAGGTAAACGATATCGTTGTTTGAGACAAAAAAACTATTGCTTGCCGTGATTTTTCAAAAAGAAGTTATCCATCCCGAGAATAACGAATGAAGCATGGGTATGAAATGCCAAATCTGCCGAAATCGGAAACAAATCAGGTATGCGTCTCAAGCCAAATAACCAACCGTAACAATGTTGTTTATTCTTGATGACGTCCAGTACTTCCTTTTTAGTTCCTAGGAGCTAAAATTCACCTTCAGCTCCTAGGAACTAAAGTTCAACTTTGCCTAGCAATAACATACCTATTTTTGTGTCAGTAATAGAAACGTCAATTTAAGAGCTAATTTCGGTATCAAAATGGACGACTTTTGTGTCGGTTGCATTCATATTTTTATCCCTGAAAATTCCCAATTTGATTGGTGGTTTACGTTATACGGAAATGCCACTTATAGTCGCAACGTATTTGAACAAAGTAATACGCTTTGCTCAATGACTTTTACTGACATAACATCAATGACCATTATCTGACAGCTCAAAAATATCATATTAAGCAAAACCATGTTATACACAGGATGTGCTGTTCTGGTAGAGGATATCTCGTTAGGCTTCAATAGCTTATAACTTTGTTTAAAGGGCATAACGGACCTTGGATCAAAGGACATTTTTTCTTGTTCACTTTGATTCGATCTATGCAATCCTAGATTTTCACAAAATTTCATCGTAGACAAGATTTCAATGTGAATGGTGCTGTGTCCTTTGAAATTTATCGCAAAAAATATGCAACTTTATTCTTTGGATCTTAGACAAAATTGTGTACAGATTCAGAATCCTGACCTAAACCATACCTATATTCAATAGATTATACGGAGATAGATATAATGGATAGTTGGTGACCTTTTTTTAACAAATGAGCGACGAATTAGCAACAAATTATACTGATATTATTATCAAAAAAAGAATTATAGATACGGGGTGGTTCTGCTGGCTTCATATGACCTTAGCAGAACCATAATATTTTTAATAAATAACGAAGCTGAACGAAAAATTGTTTTAAAATTTCATAAACATCTAGCAGAAGCATGTATCTGGCAAAAAAGCGATAAGACACTTTTTGTTGTAGTGGCAAATTAGAGATGAATATATACAACAAATTATGGGATAGTTTGAATTGAAAATCACGAAATGGTTCTGCCACTTTTATGAGGGTTGCTTCATGCAACAAATGGTACGATGGCTTTCAGCAGTAAATTATTATTTGTATACAAAAGTGAGTGTCACTTGTTATAAACGGTTGTATTATTTTAATTATACCAGCTCTGTGAGCGAACAAGTAATACTGAGTTTTACTGATTTCTATTAACGGCCATATTGGAAGTCACGTGCTCTGGAAGTTGTGTCTCAATGTTCCTTCTCTGCTTAAGTGTGCCTTCAGCTTCACTGAAACCTTTCGCAATATCACAAATAAACAGTGATTAAAAATCACTATACTGATCCTAACGAACATTCATACGACATAGATTTTCTTCGTCTGGTCGCTACTACCTCCTAATTCCGCTTGGATCGATTCCAAAGACTTTCCTTTCGTTTCGGGAACGGTACGAACATAGAAAATCACAGCGACGATAGTAACAATGGCGAAGGTGAAAAAAGGCACCGCCCTCCCAAAATAATCTGAAGTGAACTGGTAAAACTTGACAGATACCATTGTACATATCGCGTACACCAAATCCCCCTAGCGTAGCCCCCTGACCCTTGACACTAGCTGAAAACAATTCAGACGCGAATACTCCTACTACCGGACTCACTCCTACCGATAAAAATATATAGTAGATCGTCACCATGGCGAAAAGCAGCCAGCTGTAAGGGTTCAAGTCTATGGAGGTTATATCTTTCACTAGGAAGAAAGTCCCTATGGCTAGCAAGAAGGAAGCTATAATCGCAGAGGAAGCTATCAACAGACGTTTCCTTCCGTACCTATCGATGAAAAAATTAGCTGATATGAACATAAGCATGTTGAGAAACAATATCAAGGAAGTGCCTATAGCCGGAGGTATACGAAGAGATTCGAATAACACTTGAGCATATGCCCCTACAGCGTCTGTTCCGGTGAACAGGAGGAAGAATCTGAAGCAGGTCATCAGCAGCAGAGCTCTTCTATTGGCTGATACGTCAAACAAGTCTCTGAATCCCCCCTTTTCCGACATCTGTCTCTTGACGTCTGCTTTCATAGTCTCCATTTCTGCCACCACATCAAGCTTCCTCCTTAGTGATCTCAGGCTCAGTGTTCCTTCACATCTCCGTTCATTAGCAGGTAGTAGGGAGACTCGGGCATAGAGGTGAAAGTCAGCCATTGGAGAGCAGGGAACAGTAGGCACACTAGGGAAGTTGTGTAGATGTTCACTAGGGATCCTAGCACGTTGATGAATAGGCAAGCGATGGCCTTGGAGATCGTAGTGAGATTGACTATGGCGCCTCTGTGTTCGAAAATGAAGGAAGGGCAGAATCTTTCAGGCTGAATGCAAAGGAGCCGTAGGAAAGGCCCTGGCATGACCTACCTTCTCTTCGTAGATTGCTTTGTGGAACAACTAGAAAAAGACAACAGTCATACTCAAGTATATTCATTTATTTATTCATTGAAGAACAAGCTGCGAGCTTATAAACTCTTTTTACAGTATCTAGTTATTAACATTGGATAACAGAAATATCATTCATATGTATATGTTCCATGGCATGGAGAGTTCGAACAGAATATCATTCATTTTAAATATCAATAGACCTCTCCAAGATGCTGTCAAATGATCAAGGGATTAGTAGGGATACACAATTCTGATTGAGGGTACGATGGCTTTCAAGGGTAAATTACTTGTGCATGAAAGTGAGTGTAACTTGTTATATAAGGTTGTATAACTTCATTTATACTAGCTATGTGAACGAACAAACTAAACTGACGTTGACTGTTGTCCACTAGCATCTATATTGGAAGTCACGTGTTCGGGAAAGGATGTTCAGAGTCTACACCAGAGCATAGATCGAGGATAAGATCTAAACGGCAATGAGAGCTTGTTTGTTTGTTTCATTGCTTTGTTCTCTGCCTCAGCGTACCTTAGCAACAATGAGAGCTTCAAGAATATTATGCATTAACAGCTATTGAAAATCAGTATAATGATCCACATGAACCTTCATACGACATAGTCTGTCTTCGTTATCTCCGCACTTGTTTCGCCACTACTACATTTCAGTTCCTCTTGGATCGATTCCAGAGTCTTTCCCTTCGTTTCGGGAACGGTACGAATATAGAAAATCACAGCGCCAATAGTGACAATGGCGAAGGTGAAAAAAGGCACCGCCCTCCCCAAATGATCCGAAGTGAACTGGTAAAACTTAATAGATACCATTGTACATATCGCGTACACCAATCCCCCTAGCGTAGCCCCCTGGCCCTTGACACTAGCTGAAAACAATTCAGATGCGAATACTCCTACTACCGGACTCACTCCAACCGATAAAAATATATAGTAGATCGTCACCATGGTAAAAAGCAGCCAGCTGTAATTGTTCAAGTCTATGGAGGTTACCTCTCTCACTAGGAAGAAAATTCCTATGGCTAGCAAGAAAGAAGCTATAACCGCAGAGGAAGCTATCAACAGACGTTTCCTTCCGTACCTATCGATGAAGAAATTAGCTGACATGAACATAAGCATGTTGACGAACATGATCAAGGAAGTGCCTATAGCCGGGGGTATACGTAGAGATTCGAATAACACTTGGGCATAGGCTGCTATAGCAACCATTCCGCTGAACAGATGGAAGAATCTGAAGCAAGTCATCAAGAGTAGAGCTCTCCTATTGGCTGGTACGCCAAACAAGTCCTTGTACCCCCCTTTTTCCGACATCTGTCGATCGACGTCTGCTTTCATGGTTTCCAACTCCACATCCACGTCTAGTTTCCTCCTTAACGATCTCAGGCTCCGCGTAGCATCCTCTACGTTTCCTTTTATGAGCAGGTAATAAGGAGATTCGGGCATAGGGGTGAAGGTCAGCCATTGGAGAATGGGGAATACTAGGCACGCTAGTGAGGCTGTGTAGATGTCAACTAGGGAGCCTAGCACGTTCATGAATAGGCAAGCAATGACGTTGGAGATCGTGGTGAGATTAACTATGACGCCTCTATGGGATGGAGAAGCTATTTCGGCTGCGTAGAGACATACCACAGACATGGCACTGCCCTCACCAATGCCCCCTGAAAGAGAAAGAAATGAGTCAAAAAACGACGGTTTGTTTTTCTGGAAAAACTTCAGGTTAGAAAATGGAGGTAGGGTAGCTTTTGGTATTTACGTGGATGAAATGCAGAAGTATCTCAGTGAAGGCCCTTCGTAGATTGCTTTGAAGTCACACTCACGGAGAGAGAATGATGCAGCTGATCGCCCCGCTCAGAAATGTGCAGAGTTCACATTCTTCAATTCTGAGCCTCTCATCAGTGTCACCTGATGGCAGAGCTTGGCAAATGGAAAGAGTTTGCTTCAGCATCCATTCGCAAAACGAGAGAAAATACCACTATTCAGCTTATGAAGTATCACAGAGGCTAGCTCACAGGACACTGCCCTCTGGCAAAGAGTTGAGTCTCAAAGAGCACATGAAGGTACTCTGCTCATGTGAAGTGAAAGTACTTTCAAAGATTGGGTCACCTAGAGCAAGTCTTCCTGGCTCTTTCTGAGGTAGAAAATTCATTTGTCGAGAAAATTCTAGGCTGCATCAGAAGAGTGAGAAGAAGATTGTTTAGACCAGGGTAATCGTAAAACATCTTCCAGGCAGCAGTATTTGAGGGGTTTCCTAAGTGTGCAATATGTCTATAAAGCACTGACAGTGGTTGCAGTATGAGTATCTCCAGCTTCCGATAGAGCACATAGAATCTTTCTGATGGTCTTCTCTTCCTCTTTTATAGTTGTTGAATATACATGTTCTTGATGGTTTGACATTGTTTCCCAGTTTGAGTTGCTCCCCTATCTTCTAGGGGGTTGGTATCTTTAGGGGCAGAGTCATTTGAGCAAGCCTGTAATGAGCTTCAATTTTAATTTGTTAGGGTTGAGAAGCTCTGTTACTCTATCGTTTCAATTCTCCTTGAACATCATGCCTATAATAATCATTTTTAGACGTTAGATGACATCAACTCATTCGATAAAAAGGTTGAGGACTAGGTAATGGTGGAGCCAGCTGCATCAGTGTTTTGAGACAGTGACACCTGATCTTGCAGGTAGCGACAGACAATTGAAATAAGGCATTGCTTTTAGTCTCACCTGATATCCTGCCGAGGTATAGCAGAACCTTCGAGTAGAAAGACAGATATATCATGAGGAAGGAAAGAACCTGAGGTACGGTCATCAGGAGAATCGTCTTCTTTCTTCCTATGACGTCGATGAGATACGAAGAGGATACACAACCGGCTATGAACCCCAATGAGCTGACGATGGCGACATACGAGGCCTCGTCTCGGGTGATCTCGAAAGGGTACTCATCAGTCAACAGTCGTGGTAGGGAGGGGATGATCCATGCATAGGTGATTCCGGCAGAGAACATGTGTATGCTGGCTGGAAATTTGGATGATATTAGTACTTTGTCGTTGCCAGTCTCCTTCAGAATTTTTGCCAATTTTTAAGGTTATACTAGCATGTGGAAGTGGAAGGAATATCGATCTTATTGATGAATATATTGCCTTGGTGTCAGTTTCATGAATGAGTAGATATTCTGAATGGGCGTTAAAGCACCCTAGTGTACACTATTTTATGGTAACGAATCAAGTTGATAAAATTTTGCTACTGACTTTGCTACTAAATAGGAGCTACGTGATCATCTGCAAATTGTGTTTTTTTCAATATATCTTGAGAAATACGCTAGAACGCCACACTCCCATGCATCATGCAATTCTTAGTTGAAATTGTTCTACTACTACTACTACTTTTCAAATTAGAATATCCAATATTCAGAGTTCTAGTAGCTTGTTGAATAATTTGACGATGTTCTAGGTGAACAAATTATTTCTCCACATTTATCAAACAAGTAGACTGTTTTTCTACACACTACTCAACTAAAAAAATTGACATTTGACGTATATTTAACTAATTAATAGACCTCTAGACCTCAGGACAGGGTAATGGTTGTGGTTGTTATTCTCCTTCACAAAAAAGTGGATACTATTGAACAGTTCATTGATAAAACTAATATAAAGTGATATGACGTTTTGCAAATTTTCTTCATCGGCTAAAATAAGTGTATTCAGGGCATCTTATATACCATCATGAAATCAAATACCTATGTTAAAAATGTTTAAGTAGGATACTGAAATTTTCTTGCTACAGTGTGGCTGGAAGAATGTTACCTGCCGATATGAGACTAGTCGCGTGACGTCCTAAGCCTGCCTGCCGATTCAGCGTATATTATTTCAATCACTGTTTGTTCTTGCATCCTCACAATTTAACAAGAGTGAAAATGTCACTTGAAAAATGGCATTCTGTGCCAGGGTGTCCTAGTACAAGTTCCAGAACACCATCAAAAATATTTATTATATTTCTGGACGAAGAAAGGTACAAACATGATTTTCACCAAAGTCTAGCCATAGCATCATAGCGAGGTAATATTGCGCCTCGCTCGCTGCTCGCTGAGTGCGAGAAACCGAAAATTTCCGGCCGATCCTGAGAAGAAACATAATTGAAATAGCGAATCACTATCGGCCTAACCAAAAAATGCCTCCATGGTGTTTTTTCGATTAATTACTCCGAAAACAAAAATAAAAAAAAGATTAGCTGGAGTAGGGATCGAACCTGGGACTTCTCGTTCGGATGAAGGAACACTACTCTAATGCTGTCTGTAATGACCACCACACTTCTGGCAAAGCTAACTACAAATCAATTTTATACGCTCTTGACTTGCCACCGTGGCAATATTTCCCGTACAGTGGTGCTATGGCTAGGTTCTAATCGATTTTCAGCCCTGCAATGATAATTATTGATGTGGTATGTCATTAAAATCAAATTTGTGTCGCTGAAGGTTCATTTTTTTGAATCAATCCCAACAATGAGTAATCGAGGTACAGCTTCAACTTCAATTCCGTGTAAATGTTGAATTCTTCTTCGAACGATAGTTCTATCCTTGACCTCTAGCAACAAACTCTGTATACAGGATACTCTATCAATTTGAAAAATATATCAACCTTTCTTCAACCTTTTTCACAACCGCTACTCAGCTAAACAGACTATACATGCATATGATATGTATGTATCTCAAATAACGCGTTTTATGAGGGATGGTATGTGACGTCACTGGACGTATTGAAATAAAAATCCGATTTTCAGCGCCCGATTCTGAAGCTGCTATCCATTATTTTCAATTCATTCCTTCGCATAAATCAATAATTGTATTTTGACTTATATCCTGTATAATATACTCACCACTCAGTGCTGCGAAATATTCGGTCGTCAGGCTACCATCATCTTTGTTCCAAAGAAATTCCAGAGGCTTACACGAAAATGTCATAATATCTTGTAGACAATTCGACGGATTGTTATAAATGTTTCAACAATAAACTTGATTATCACTGGTAAATGGATCAAATCGGGGTCATATGAATGCTGTGACTACTGAAAAATATGAAAGTTCGATCTCTCGGCGATTGAAATTATTCAACATTCCATCAGACGAGGCTATGTATGCCTGGTGCATGCCAATGGGGAAGTTTCCTTCAGATGAATGTTCATGAAATAAGTTCGGAACTCTCCAGTTTTATGTCCACGCTGTACAGAATGGCGACCGATAAAGTCCAATTCGTTTTCATTTTCAAATAAAAGCAATTTCTAATTTTTGGGGCGGCAAACTATGACGTACATTCTTAATCTAGTCTGAAAATAGCTGATGGTGAAGAATATAGCTAGCGAATAGCTAACGAATAGCTAAGGAAAGAAAAAAAATAGAAGAAGAGGTAAAACTGGTAAACAGAAACATACATAACCACAAATTCACTCGGAGCACGAATGCAGAAGGTAGTTGGCTTCATTCTGACAGGTTATGGTTTTGTTATTTATTCATAGAAATATTGAGTCAATGAATCACTATGCTACATTCAATGATACTATCCTTCCTAATTTACTGCCATCGGTCAGAATAGAATGAAGCCGACACCCATGGCTCCTTCCTCTTGTTGTGCCTGTCAGTATTTTGAGTGGTGTGGACGGACTCGAAGTATTAGGAGCTGTTGCAAGATATCATCTGCAACTTTTCTAGAAAATAGACCGGTTTTATTAAGGAACGAATTCAGTAGCAACAAAATGACTGACAAGTTATGAATAACATATTGTAATATAACGATAGTGAAAAATTATAGATACTATCGTAAAATATCATAATTTATCTTTATTTGTAATCAACTTCATGCAGCCAATGAGAGATTTATGGGAATTATTCATAATAATTGACAAAGTAGGATTGAAGAACCTATTGCTGTTATTATATAGTTATTATATGCATTCAAAGAACAATTTCCGGAAATCTAGACATATTGATGATGTCGGCAACGACGTACTGGCACAGGGAATCGTATTTTTACTCTGTGTGAATGTGGATTCTCAGAAAGTAAGTCATAGGAATGGTGGAGGAGCCAAGTTCCTCTTTTATTTATTTTTTTCTGAAGTGAAATTGGATCTTACATCTCACGAAAAAATATGTATAAATACATTTTTTACAAACTTCACAGTGAGATAAAAACCTCAATATAGAAAACTTCCCCATTATGATAAAAAATGTTTGTGGATTCTCAAAAAAAAATCATTAAAAAGCGAGCTCACCATGTGGATACAACCACTGATTTCAATCAGGAAAGTGATTCGCCGTGTATTAACTTATCCTTCACATAACGAAGTAGGTACTCATACAAAATGTCAGAATATGTGATCATTTATCGTTAAGGTGTATAAAGTATTAGCTTTTCATTACCTGTATATGTTCAATATATTGCACTTTGCGATATCAGTCGTTCAGTTCCCTTGAAAGTATTATTTTTTCAAGTTTTAGGTCATGATATTACGAAATAATGACATACAGGGTGTAGGTATATCGATGAGCTCACAACAATATGTGAATGTTCACTCCTAAGCCGGATCAAATGTTACTGTTCGAATTCATGAATTTCAACTGTCAATCAATGTCCACGATTATCTCGATAATTTCATTACGCATTGTTAATAAAGGCAAATGAAGGGATCTCACTGCCTTATCATTAAAATAAATGAATACATTTTTTTCTTTGAGTTTCAGAACTTTTTTCTTTACAACTTCTTGTATAGCCACCAGTTTCTTCCATTTCATCTCGGGTAGAATAAACATCAAGAATATCGCTTGTATCTATTTGGAATTAGGGGGAACATAAATGATACAGACTGATTGAAAAAGGCATTATTATTTACTTGGAAAATATTAGGTAGGTACTACAAAAATAAAGGAATCATTGATCGAGTGAATCATTCTGGGATAATGGATTTTTAAAATAAATATAGCCATTTGGGCAAGTGACAGTGAAGAAAGGATTGAACATGTTATGAAGGATATTTTCATCGGCAGTCACATTATACAGGGTGTGCCGTAAAGACCACGTCAAACCTAGGGAGAATGTAGATCAAAGGATAACACATCTGTATATGACGAAATCTTAACATGAAAGTTTAACCGTTTTCGATATATTTTTATTTGAAAATATCCACTACGAAAGTTCTCTATAAAAATATTTCTCACGGTCCCCCTTTGAATTGTTCGGAGAATGTTTTCAATGTATACGTTGAAATCATTCTTCAGCAACATTTACTGAGAAAATGAACCAAAAAGGTGTAAAATTGTACCAACCGTACAGACAAAACTATTGAAAGGGGCAAAAATTTAATATTTTCAACAAATGGAAAAGTATCTCAAGAAGAAGAAAAACTGCTGTCGAAGAGACAGCAAGCTATTGTTGTCGAAGATATCACAGCTAGTTATTTCCAGGCTAGTTTGTCCAGGAAGAAATTGTCTCAGATAATACCCTACCCCATTTACACTTCGTTTGCTATGGCAAACCTTCGGGATATTCAAGATAAGCTACTTTTTGTTCTTCAGCTCCACTTGTATAGCCTCCAACGTCTTTCCTTTCGTCTCAGGCATAACGAAAATGAAGAAGAACACACCGAACAAAGTGATAAGGCCAAATGTGAGAAAAGGCACAAACAAAGCTATATGATCACCGGCAAATTGATAATACTTCGTAGTGGCCATGGTCCCCAAACCATGGATCACCATGTTCAAAGCCGTCCCTTCGGCTTTCACGCTATTCGAAAACAGTTCTGTGGCGAAAACATTGATGACAGTAGACATGCCGCTGAAGCAAATGTAATAACAAACTACCAAGACGAAGAGTAACCACGCGAGGTTGGACAGGTCCAAACGGAAAGAGTCCCTCAACAAAAAAAACGCGCTGATGCCTAAGAGACAGATCGTTGTGGTTGTCGAAGATATCACAGCTAGTTTCTTCCTGCCTAGTTTGTCCAGCAGGAAATTCCCACTGATGTAGACAACAGCAGAAAGGACTCCGATCACGAACATGCCCCACACTGCCGATATTCTCTCCTGCTCGAGCAAAACTTGCACATAGGCGCCTATAGCATTGAAGCCGGTGCCCAAATGCAAAAACTTCACGCAGAGCATGAGGCATATCGCTCTGCGATTGGCTGGGATGGTGAACAGCTCTCTGTAGCCCCCACGCTCCGACATCTGTCTATCGACGTCAGCTTGGAGGGAAATAGCCTCCAGCTCGATGTCTTCTTTTCTTCTGAGCAATCTGAGGCTTCGGCGAGCTCCTTCGGTGTCCTTCTTCATGAGGAGGTAGTAGGGAGATTCTGGCATGCTGGTGAAGGTCAGGAGGAAGAGAATGGGGAAGGCTAGTGATACCAAGGCTGCGGCTTGGAGGCTGAGGTAGTAGCCGTAGAGGCAGATGAGTATGGCCGATATGATGTATGCTATGTTTATGGAGTTGACCAGCATTCCTCGGTGGGCGGGGGAGGCTATTTCTGCTATGTAGATGCCTACTATACCGGTGGCGCAAGCTTCTCCTATGCCTCCTGGAAAATGATGAATGTCGGTTTATTTATGAAATATGAAAGATACGTTTTTCCAGTATTGACTCGAGAATAAAAAAAACAATTTCGAAACTATTGATAAATGGCATTCATAATATCACAGCTGTCAACGACTCAATTGAATATGAACTCGTTCGTCAAACATATACTGGGTGTCCCAGATCATTTCATTCAGCCGATATATCAGTTAAGTTTTTTTTATGTTCTGGTTCCCACGAAAGGGATATCCTGTGATGTTCAGAGAACATCGTGAGAACCAAGGGAAATAAGGTAGGAATTGGTGTTTTTCTTGAATTTCTGGAGGTTATATGCCTCTCCAAAGTGACCACGAAGAGGTGCGAAGCCTCAACTCGACGGGTTAATCTCGCGAGGACTGCCAAGGGAGGATCAATTGTTGATATTTTAGAAGAGCATCGTCCATGAAAATATCTATAAAATTGAGCCAGATCGCCACCCACGAGACGAATTGCCCTTTCTTGAACAGAATCCAACAGTTTCAGGGTATGTTTGGGTATTTTTGGGTTCAAAGGTATAGTTACTCCTGACAAGCTTATGTTGGCCACAGTGGGATCGGCTTTTCTAGAGAAAAGGCATGCTTGTGTTTTGTTTGCATTGAAATCTACCAAGTTATTGGATTCCCATTCGAGAATTATTATGGAAGGTATGGAAGGTACTATCATCCACGAAGCAGTGTACTGGACATGAAGTTGCTTTTATGATAAGAGAGTCAGATGAAACCCCGTCGACCACTACATGGAGAGTCCTGTTTGAGAGAAAACTAGGTAGCAGAGAATATATAAAAGTTGGGCAAGCCAAGGTTAGTTTAGTTCATCGTACCATTATTTCACCTGATGAAGCTACTGTTTTAGCGAAACATGTCGTGTGACTAAGAATTTTGTGGAAATTTCATCGTTTGTGAAGTTTTTACATCTCGAAATACTCAAGCTCAAAAAACTCACCCAACACCCTAGCTACGTAGAGCAAAATGTTCGAGTAGTCGCACAAAGAGATCATAAGGAATGAAGCTACCATTGGTAGGGACGTCCACACTAGCGTCCACTTCCTGCCGAGGATGTCCATCAGATGGGCGGACATCACAGCCCCTACCACGTACCCAATTTGGTTCATGATGGCGAGGTATGAGGCCTCGTCGGGGCTCATCTTGAAGGGGTACTCGTCGGACATCACCTTGTTCAGCGAGGGAATGATCCAAGAGTAGCTGAGGCCGCTCGAGAATTGACAGATGCAAGCTGAAATCGAATGAGAACTGATTTTTTTTCTACACAAGGACATACTGTTATAGCAGAATCTCGAATGAAGATAGGACGATAGAGATGTCTCTCAGAAATGTTCCACAAGTTCAATCAACTGGAGATTATTACTTCTGTGAATTTAGATTATTTAGAACGGCATTTTTTTGGAAACTACTGATCAAAAGATGATAAACTAGGGTACTGTTGGATAGAGAATTGTACGCCCTTCAAAATAATCTTTCTTCAATTAGAATATTTTGGACTCGATTCTTGAATTCCTTCAAACTCATAAATCGACCTCTGAGTTCGTCTGAAAGAGCATTGAAACATTTCACGGCAAGATATTTGAATGAAGATTTGGTTTTTGAAATTCTTGGTTTCTCTTATATTCAGCTTTCCTCTTGTGTTATATCTGAGTATATCTTCAATCCTAGTTATTCCAAATCGAGTATCAGACATTCCTTTCTTTATGTGAATGAGACATTCGTATACGAAGCATGAGGCTAGTGTTAAAATTTCGCATCGTTCAATAATGGTTTGCAATGTCCTGTCCATTATTTTCCGATCTTTTTTTTGTAAAATAAAAAAAATTGTAGAATGAGTTGATGCACCCCACACCATCAAGGCATATGTAATTACTGAATGAATAAGAAACTCTGAGATATTCATCAGTCAGTTTACCCTTCAGCTATCTCAACATACAGGGTGTTTCCTAACTACGGTTCCTAACTGCAGGGAGTGATTGGTTAGGTCATTTTAAGAAGAAAAGTTTCTATGAACATATATCCGGAGTTGCTTCGTTTCTGAGATACAGGGCGTTGAAATTAAAGAAAACAAACGATAATTATTATAAAATATCATGAATATCCTGGAACCGATTTGGTTGAAATTTGGTACTTTTATTTATCAAATTTTCTGAAATTTCAGCATATCAAGTGTCAATTAAATTTTTGGCGGAGATAATGAAAAACTCATTTCTCCAATGCAGGTGTTCATGATATGCAATACTATGGCTTTGATTTTTTTTCTCGAAAACGAAGCTCGATATGAAGGACATGCAAGAGACCAAAAAGTTGTATTTTGAGTTGCTCAATCTAAACAAAATAAAAATTCACCGAAAAAAGACAGTGGCGTACTTTTTTCACAATATTGTTGGCTGTGGTGCCCATTGAGACGTCAGTGGCATCAATAATTTCAATCTAGATAGGGCTAAATAAGCGCCTTATTAGTTTAAATGAAAGGACCAAATTTCAACCAAATCGGTTCTAGGATATTCATGATATTCTATAATTACCGTTTTTTTTCTTTAATTTCAACGCCCTGTATCTCAGAAACTAAGCAACTCCGGACATATGTTAATAAGAACTTTTCTTCCTAAAATGACCTAACGAATCACCACCTGCAGTTAGGAACCGTAGTTAGGAAACACCCTGTATAGGTTGATGTTGCTAGACGCTTACATAATTGATCAATGTGAAGCAAAAAATTCAGACCTGCATCTAGATGTACCCGTTTTTGTCTGAACCATTGTTCAACTTGAAATTCAGAAACTTGAGTCTTTCTATTATTGAGAGTAAGATAATTACTCTTATTCCAAATTCGAATCCTTTGTTCAGTGTTGATGGACATTCTGTCATTCAGGGTTCTTTCATTTCGATCACAGTGAATTATAGACACGTCATCAGCATACCCAATAGGATGTATACCTTCACTAACATGAACTAAGTTGAACATCAAATCATTGACATAGATAATGAAAGATACAGGTCCTTAAACTGATCCCTGAGGTACTCCGTGCTCAGATACACCGTCTTGCCATTTGACTCTAGCTTTTCTATCTATCAGAAGGATATGAAGTAGTTGGTAACAATGAAGACACATTTGAATGTTCATTCCCAAATTCGACAGATAAAGAATAGATGTAATTCAATTTTCGTCCTGGCATATAGCCAGGAAAGTAGTTGTTTCCTGTTGAATAGAATAAACCGAGAAAGAATTAATATTTTCATCACATGGAGAATGCGAATTCTCAATGTATTTCTTTATATTTATATCAATTTTTTTGTGTTCATAAATATATCTGAGAATATCCCTTTTCAAGAATGAAATCGTCATAACTAGAGAACAGATGGTGAGATTTTACACTGGTTTGTTGTATTCGTATTCATTTTTCCTCCATAAAGAATCACCCTTCCTGCTGGTAAGAAATTCAAGAAAAAAGATACTCACCGCAAAACGTCACCACATATTGTGACGTCAAACGTCCGTCATTCTTTTCCAAAAATGTAATGAAAGGATTACGAAATTTGGTCAGCATATTCGAAACATTTACCTAAAAACTGTTAAGATTTCAACAAACGATGATTATAACATGATTTAAAAAATGTAATACTCAACTATACATATACCTAGATAATGTATCTCATAATTATAAATTCATAGTGAAATAAATTAGAGATAATCTCAATATCATTCATAATGCTTATTGATGTAATAAAAAAATAAAAAATCAGGATTCAAAAACACTAATATGACTTATGGAACAACATTCCAATCGTGTAATTGATATTATATAACTGATTGTAGATGAATAAACCAAACAATAAAAAAATGACACCTAAGTAAACAAGATCGAACAGCTCCTTTCAGAATATCCACAACGATTAGATTCATCACGAGAACCAAATCTCAGAATACTTATTTAGTAGTTTGTTTTCAGAGTATCTCAGCCTCAGCATGATATTATTAAACTCTTCAGATAATCTTATCATGGGAAATAAATCATTCTCAATAAGGAGTTTGCTAATAAGGATAAGTTTTATCTCGATCCCGTTTGCTTCTAATAATATTTCATCTTGACAACTGTCTCGGATGATTCAATTAGGAAAACGCGGAAACGAAGTTATTCAATTATTGTTTCCAAAGTTATAAAAGAGTGACAGAAAATCGCGATAAATTTCCATGACTATTTTCTTAACGAAGTCAAAATTGGGATGTAAGTATCTGTCCACCTAATCCACCACACTTATTTGGTTTATGTTTTCAAGATTCAAAATATAGTTATTTATTATACAAGGGATAGAAGTAGTAGATTTCAGCACATGCTTAGTATATCTAAGTGTATGATCCATGAACAGACCTAAGTTTTTCACAGTATCTGTGAACGGAATTACTTCGGATTTCTTTCCGGCCGAATAAAATCACATTTGACTTAGCTGGATTGATAGAAAGATAAAGAAAGGCATAGCTGAACATCATCTGCATATAAATGACTGCTAGAAAATTTTATGACTGTGTGCAAATCGACGGTGTACATGATGAAAAGTAACGGACCCAAAATAGATCCTTGAGGAACTCCATTCGCAATATGTACAAAATCAGAAGTTGGTTCTCGAGTTTGACAGCTTGAAAACGATTAAGTAAGTTAAAACGATTAAGTAAGGCAGGCATCTTTATAATTCCTTTGAAGGAATCAAATATCTGCCAGTTTCGTTCTGTGATTTGATTTTGAAAAATTGCGAATTTAGTGGTTGTTTAGTAATTTACGACCCCGCGATTGGAAGATACAAGAACTTGCAGTTCTTTCTCAACAAGAATACAAAACGAATAAAAATAAAGAAATTAAACGTGAGAAACAAACTGTTATAACAGAGGTATATAAAAAATTGAATTCGATCTGAATCAGGTAAAGTATTGTTCTCATCATTACGTATATGAACATTTGTCACATCTTCTGTAAGATAATTTGAACATAGCAAACCGAAATATCATGAAATTCACGAGTGTATGTGATTAACTCAAGATTGATAATAATATAGGTAATTATAATAATAAATAAATGTCAACATATTTTTCAGTATAGATTATCAGGAGATCTACCGAAAATTTTGTTGAACTGGCAACCATGCAGCGGACGAAAAGTGTTTGCGGACGAAAAGTTAGTGTCGAAAACTAATTGCTTTCGAAAATACTCGGTTTTTTGTTCGGTAATTAGGAAAAATCTTGAAATTTCAACGAAGCGATTGCGGTCACATTTTGATAGGAAAAAATCCCTATTTTGATCTGAAAAATGAGCTCCTGAAATATTGGTACTGAAAAATGAAACACATACTGCCTCTCAAGATAAACCGAATACTCTGATTGCCAAAACTTTGATAGCCACTCTGTATAGCTATTCTTAGCGAACTTCAATTAACTAGCTCCTTTTGAAAATGTTTGGGTTTTAATTGCGTTCTTCGTGAATTCAAAAATTGGAAAGGGTAACAGAACTGAAAGGTTGAAGATTGGAAATATGATTAGCAATATTGAAGTGCTTTGAAAACAATCTTTCGTGCTCGAGAGTGACTGTAAAATTATTTGTTGGCTCGAAATATACATTTTAATTGGGAAAACCTATTAATTTACTATTTTATCAGTTAATTTTCAAGGATACTAAAACAATGGGCACGCGTTGCTGGAAAAAGTCAATTTTTATATTTTTTTATCGTCAAAAAAGGCCATAATACAGGGTGAGTCTTGAGGAACTGTACATACACCTACCACGAATAGAGGCTCTAATGACCATCAGGAAGTGTCTTCTTCTTTTCTTCACCAATATATAGGGTGATTTATGAGATTTGACAAAAACATGTTTAGATCATAACTTTTCAACAGCTCCATCGATTCGTCTGATTTTTTCATGGAATATTTCTCTAATAAACTCTAATCGACTGACATTTTCAGAATCGGTGGAATCCTGGTCCGTTTTTGAAAAATTTCGACAGTTTATTTTTTATCAAAAAGTTCATCCTGTATATGATTTTTGTGAACTGTGACAGGGAATTTTCGAATCTCACAAACAGGCATCAGGAATGAGATATTTTAAATGCTCATCACACTCTCACATAATTTTTGAAAAAACGATGAATTATAAGCATAATCGAAAGTTTGGCAAAACAGTTATTAATTCAAGAATGTTTACTTCACAACGCATAAATGCCATAAATGATAGTCAGACTCACCTTTTCGATGCTAAATTGGCAATCATCATGTTCTTTCATTTCTAAGCCTGGATTCCGTCATTTAATTTTTTGTGGAAGGTAATAATCACCCTGTAGATCTTTTCAGAATCAGAGAATGGGGTATCTGTTTGGATGTTAATGGTCATCGATTCAAATAATTCAAGATAGACGAACAGAACAAATAGGTTTATCCATAATTATTGTTCGAAAGCCATACTGGCAAAGGAGGATAATAAGTCTAGTACGGAAAATAAGTGACCAAATTATCTGAATAAAGCAAATCGAATAGATGAAACTGTGGATTAAAACCATAGAAATATTTATAGGTATACCCGTTAACATATTTACAGATACCCCATCCACTGAAACGAAAAAGATCTACAGGGTGATCATTATCCTCGCCAAAAATATTTAATTTCTGCTGGAATGGAAATTTGAGTCTTAGTTACTTTCATTCTTGAAATTTATGGATTGCGAAGTATTAATTTCCGAATAAATAGATTGTCTGCTAAACTATCAGCCGCGGCAGTCAATCTACTACTTTTCTGTCTAGTAAAACAAATAACTATTTTCTGAAAACTCAATGAATTCCTCTCTTTCAGGATACTGGTTCACTGTAATGTAATTGAAATACAGCCATATGCCTTCTTCAACCTGAGCAATACCAATTACCTGTGAGTAGAGTGATACTGTATATAACTGTATTAGTATTAATAACTCTGCCTTTATGACCTCAAAAGAATTCGTATTTTTTGTATAATTTCAATATTTTTTTCGTTCAAGCACTTTTTTTTACTGTGTGCCATTTCAGACATTTGGACAACAACCATCTCAAATTCATACCACAAGATGTTTTTGCAGTGAACAACAGGTTAAAGAGATTGTGAGTTGTCAAAACTATGTTGAAAAATTAGATATTGAAAAAAATATGTTTCAATTTCAGATCACTGATGTATAACGATATCAGCAAGATACATCCCAGAGCGTTCGAGAATTTGAAGCAGCTTCATGAATTGTAAGTGGTTCCATCGGAAAATCTGAATGAATGATTAATAATCAAATTCATATACACTTCAAACGGCCCACCCTCTACAGGGTGTCCCTAAATGGTTGTCACAAAGACTTACCACATATTTGTCAGACCAAAACAAATTCTATTCAAGCAAAGTTACCAACCTCAGTACAAAGTTGCTTAGTTTGGGAACTAGACGGCTTTGAGAATACAATGTTCAATAGTTTTTGCTTCATAACTTTGAATCGGCCCATGAGATTTTACTCAAATTTGGTACATTTATTAGACAACTTGCTGTTTGGCCCGGTTGGTGTACCCATTTGAAAAAAAAATAGATATTTCTTGCAGTCGGTCTGAGCTATGCGCCTGCCTAGAGTACATATTTTTTTGTAACCCAATCTGTTCAGCCGTTTCCAGGAGTATGTAGGTAACCACTGTTAGCACTCAAATGTGCAACAAAATATATAGCATGTCATTTAAAAACATATATCATTATGACGTCACACTTTTTTGGGACACCCTGTATAATCGAAATTATTTTCCTGGTATGCACCCTATGATACAATTGAAATCTGCACAATATCTAAATCCTGACTCAATTTGTAACTGAGCCATAGGAGACGGGAGGTGAGATGCAGGACCCTGTATACCAGTTCAAATTTGGTACGAATCGCCCGATAGAAATATGGGGGCGTTTAAAGTGAGACACACTGTATACCCTCGTATTTGGACCATATATTTCTTTCTTGGATATCTTTCACAGGAAGTTGCTTTAATCGCTGATGAAAATCGTTAAGAACCTCTTTCACTTCATCTTATTCAGGACAGTCTAGTACTTTTTACTTAGACTATACAGAAGAGTGTGTACTAATGATATGTTTTAACCAAAAAAGGACAATACTTTCTGTTCTTCATTTTTCTGTTCTTCATTTTCATTATTCGTTCCTGTTTTTTATCTACTCAAATCTTATAAGAACCTATAGTATATGTAACTGTATTTTGTGATATTTATGTTTTGTTTGTTTTCATTTTGTTGGAAATAGGTTACTTTACTATTTACTAAAAGTTCATGATGTCTTGACGTCATAGGTTTATTTCATTATCCATTCTTGGAACTCGTATAGCATAAAATAGATCTGAATTTTTGACAAGGTATTTTATTAACTGATGAAATAAATATCGAAATGGCAACCCTGGTCCGCGCGGAGATTGAGTTGACAACAACTGTTATTTGCTGTTGTCAAACTAACTATCCACGAAATCCGATAGGTTTCATGTTTGAATAGGACTGTGATGTGGATATAATTGTTTGGAGTTGACGAGCAAATGTAATATGCACCTCGGCGAAAAACTGTCTATTGATTCCTAGTCTCGGCCTCGGCTATCATTTGGTAGACCCCACTATAATAGACAGTTTTTCGTCCTTGATACATAAATAACTATTTTTCCAAAATTACCATCAATTCGAACTGACTCAATGGGAAACTTTCCTTCCGATAAATTTTCATGAAATAAGTTCGGAACTGTCCAGTTTTATGTCCAAGCTCTACAGAATGGCGACCGATAAAGTCCAAGTCGTTTTCATTTTCAAATTGAAGCAATTTCTATTTTTCGGGGCGGCAATCTGAGACGTAGGTACATTCTGAATCTAGTCTGATGGTGAAGAATATAGGTAGCGAATAGCTGACGAATGAAAAAAATAGAAGAAGAAGTATAACTGACAAAAGAAAAACATACATAACCACAAATGCACTCGGGCAGGAATGCAGAGAGTACTCGGCTTCATTCTGACAGGTTATAGTTTTGTTATTTGTGCATTGAAATATCACGAATAGAGATCGATCCAGAACGAAAGTATCATTGAATCAATGAATCACTATCGGCTGCATTCAATGATACTATCCTTCCTAATTTACTGTCATCGGTCAGAACAGAATGAAGCCGACACCCATATGGCTCCTTCCTCTTGTTGTGCCTGTCAGTATTTTGAGTGGTGAGGACGGACTCCAAGCATTAGGCGCTTTTGCAAGATATAATCTGCGACTTCCCCAGAAAACTGATCCGTTTTATTAAGGAACGACTTCATTAGCAAAAAATTACTGACAATAAGTTATGAATAACATATTGTAATTTAAAGATAGTGAGAAATTATAGATACTATCGCAAAATATCATAATTTATCTTCATTAGTAATCAACTTCATTCACCCAATGAGAGATTCATGGGAATTATTCATAATACTATGATATAGTTATCATGCATTCAAAAAACAATTTCCGGAAATCTAGACATACTGGCACAGGGAATCGTATTTTTACTCTGTGTGAATGTGGATTTTCAGAATTACGTCATAGGAATGGTGGAGGAGCCAAGTTCCTCTTTTATTTATTTTTTTCTGAAGTGAAATTTGTTCTTACAAGAAAAACGAAAAATACGTATATATTTATTTTTTACGAACTTCACAGTGAGATAACCTCAATTTAGGAAACTTCCCCATTAAAAAAATGTTTCTAAAGAATGATGTTATGAATTCGTAGAATATATAGAACAGAACAAAACAATCTGGTGAATAGCACTCTTCTATAAAACTCCAGAGATAAAAGCATTCAAAACGATGCATCTGGTATACTCTTCTGTTGAGAAAGTTTCGTCATGTCATTGAAATGTTGTGGATTTACTCCGTTGTAATAGAAGCTAAAAACCAAGTTTCCTGTTCGGTGGCATCATTAAAAACGAACTAAGGACGGAATGGAAAAGTGAATTTGACACCTCTCTACTTTTTGAAATGTGACATCGAGACTTCTTATACAATTCATCATGATTTCGAAACTTTTTCGGAACTTCCCAGAACATCAAGAGTGCTTAGAAAGTTTTATCCTGGCTTCCGCGTAACTTGATTTACTCTTAGATCTTAATGGGGTTGTCCAATGTCCATGTATGAGGAATTCCACATTTTTTACTACGCTTTTATAAGATTGGTATGTATGTTCCCAGGTTGCATATCGAATTAGCCGAATACTGATTTTATATTGGTACAATATGAGAGTATAGGTATATTGAAAATTCAATATTGGAATGATGATATTGGTGGAATATTGGTTCAACCTGAGCTAACTGAAGCAATATTGGTTCGAAAGTTCGTTTACAATATGTGGAAGACCATATACATATATAATAATATATTATGTAACAAGTGTTATAAACGTCCTTTTAGTAACGAGTAGTTTAAGCACGAGCGGAGCAGAGCGGAGCGAGTGTTTAATAAACGAGTGTCTAGAAGAGTTTATAAACGCGTTACATGCTATGATTTTTCTACGAACTCCGGAAATTACATTGACATGCCTGCAATTCCTGCTAACCTGCAAAATAATTCGAAAGGAATGGGAATTGAGAACATAATACATGCAACTGCATACAACCAGCGAGACACGTATATGTGATATTGGGTGTAGATGTGTCCAGTCCATTGCTTACCAACCTTTGTTTCACGTTTATTGTCATGCTCAGCGCAGAATAAATAAATAATTGTTCTGAAAGATGGATGCTTCATTTTTACACTTCTTGGAGATATGCAAGTACCTACCCGAACATTCTGTTCGATTTCACTTTAGTCTACTTTTCGCATATATTTTTAATGATGAATTCTGATACAAACGAATATTTTGTTCGAATAATTCTGATACAAAATTCTAAAATAACAGTTGACAGTTAATACAATTGACAGGACATGTCTCAAATTACTGAAGCTGTGTTTAATGAACTGCGTTGCCATGGTAATGTGTTTAAGAAATCGTGTTGCCATCGTAACGTGTTTAATATTTTGAATAAATCACAGATCGTGAATCCGTGGTTAATCGATCATATAGCGTGGTACATATCCGTACGCTAAATGCCATCTTAGTTATGTGAGTAGAAAATATAAGATATTCTCTCACAAATGTCGGTACAACAACATCGTATACATATTGTTTCCAACAATTATAACAAATATTGCAATTTGAACATTATTATATATTCTAGTTCGATGGCACAGTGGTTGAATATCGTTTCAACAATATTTGAAACATCATATTTACCTTTATTGATCCACGGTCTAATTATCCTGATCAGGGTCTTCATAATGAGCAATCGAATTATTCTTGAATAAAATGGTGGATGAAGTTCCGCCACCAAAATTTCGAATTAAATTAAAACTTCGCACACTCAACAAGAATAGTTTTGTTCCATTTTCCTGATTGGGATCCTCAGGATAGGCAATTTTTTCATCCAGAGTTAGAGACACACAGTTGCTTGCACCAAGTATACTAGAATGATATGAGAATATTTTCATCCAGAGTTACATCCAGAGAGACGGTAGTGTATTGCACCAAGTACTCGTATGAAATGAAGTTTCCGGAGAGGAAGCCTGATAAATGGTTACAACATCCAAGGAAGGCAACAGGCACACAAATTACCCACGTTCACTTCTATATAAAAGAGTGCCTTTTTTTAGTTTTTTTTAATTACTATTTATTCCAATTTGGCAGGAAAAACAGTTACTTCGTAATCCTGTGGAGAGTTGACAGAAAATGACCAACATTTCAATTAAGATTCCATAGAATTCGATGAGATAATTCATAATGAATATCTCCAGAATGAACTTTCCGCCTTGTTTTTATTATTGTATTGTTTAGTAAATGAAGGTTATAGTCAGTGAATTTAATTATGATAAAGGACTACGATGAATACTGATATACATGTTGATTCACCCTGTGATTTTTTACTTTCAGAGACCTGAGGCGCAATAAATTAGCTAAAATAGATGGTCGTATCTTGGACCCCCTGAGGAATTTAGCAATTCTGTAAGTTGATTCATCAAGCCGACCTAGTTTTCGTTTCTTCCATTTTTTTGTCGAAACTGAAAATAGTTTCATCAGGCAGAATAACTGAACCTTAAAAATGAAAATTTCAATCAAGACATCATTTCTTACTTCTCTGACAAAATGAAAGAAGCGAATCCCTGGTTTGTTTCCCATCAGATTGACATGCAGTCTATCGACCACAAAAAAATAAAAAAAAAAATCTAAAAAAAGTAAGTATTGAAAAGAAATGTTCTCAGATAAAATTATGAACAAAAAAAATGTATGTATATACATGAAAAATACATTGAGAATTCGCATTCTCTATGTGATAAAAATATCAATTCTTTCTCGTTTTATTCAACCGAAAACAACCAGTTTCCTGGCTATATGCCACGACGATGACAAGAATTGCCACAGAAAATCAAAAATGTTTCAATATACAGGGTGTTTCATTTGAAAATTCAAAACAGGATCCATTTCCGGTGAAACCGGAAGTGGCAAGGAAGTGAGAAAATGCGAAAACTTTCCTTTTTACATACCAACTAACCATGTTCAATTCAATTTTGATATACCCAATATTCTATAAGTTATGGCTCGACACCCGGTTTTTACTCTCGTATAGAAATAGTTTTTTCTATCATTTCCCATAACTATATCACTATAATTCATCAAACTTTCATCGACTGTGGAAAATATCTCATATTATTCTGTTGAAAAGTCTGATTCAAAACGCCATAGCGAGGAGCGCCGCTATTATAACTATCCGATTTTGAAAAAACAAAAAAAAACAAATGAAATAATTCATCACAAGGTGACACTAACAATTTTCTTTTCCAATTTCAACTCTAATGACAGCGATTGTCAACTTTTTTTTCCCAGGTGGCATTGAATATTATTCAATTATTTTTTCTATAGAGATTTTTTTCTGAATACAATGATGAATAGAAAGTTGACGTACGCGCAGAATTAGTTGAAAAAATGTATGCTCCGTCGTGGAGACGGTGCATTTTAAAACACAAGTTATATGTGAAGAAAAAGTCTTTTTTTGATCCGAACAATACCTCCTTAAGATATTCACATCGAATTTTGAATCACCTTGTATAATAGTTGTCAATTTCACGACTTCATTTTTGTAGGTACTTGCAGAATAATCAAATAACTTCTGTAAGTGTGGACAGTTTTCCACAAATGAAGCTCAAACATCTCTCCTTGATGGAAAATAAGATAGTGCAAATGGACATAGCTTCATTCAGCCATCTACAAGAATTGAAACAGCTGTAAGTACTATGATTCTCTCGATATTATCATTAGTGACTAGCAGAATTTTTGACACAAATAGGAAAAAATGTCATTCAGAATCTCTCGAAAAGTTTCTGTTCGATTCTATTTTTTGTGCTTCTTTGGTTAAACCGGCCTTGGATTTTTTTCTTACTAGTATACGTGTAAGTAAGAGGCCGAGTGACAGCTAGGGAGGGCAATCAACACGCCAAGGTTCATAATAGTTATTTACGTGACAAGTGGGATATACAGTGTCTTTCAAAAGAATCGGAACGGTCTCATATTTCAGGAACGGCTTGAGAAAAATTCACGAAATTTTCTACAGGGTGATTATTGATGATGTCCGATTCAATGGTGGCATCAGCAATGTTGCCAAAATTACAGTTTTTCAGATATTAGGAGTAACTTTATTTTTTCAAATGGAATACCCCATTTATTTTTATTGCAATTAATTAAGCGCCTCCTAATTACTTGAGTCCCTGAATATCAGATTCGTAATCAACGTGATTTTCGAAATATGACAACATAGCATTTTCGTTAAGAAGTTCTGGAACGGTCGCATATTTCAGAAACGGCTCAGAGAAAATTTATGAAAACTTCGACAGAATAGTTGTTGATGATGCCCGATTCAATGGTGATATCGGCAATGTTGCCAAATCAACAGTTTTCCAGAAATTTATTGTAACTCAATTTTTTCAAATGGAATATCCTATTCGTTTTCATTGCAATACATTTAGCGACGCCTCATTACTTATGTCTCCAAATATCGAAAATGCCATGTTGTCATATTTCGAAAACCACTTCGTCGCTGAATGTATTGCAATGAAAACGAATAGGGTATTCCATTTGAAAAAATTGAGTTACCCTGAATATCTGAAAAACTGTTGATTTGGCAACATTGCCGATATCACCATTCAATCGGGCATCATCAACAACTATCCTGTCAAAGTTTTCATAAATTTTCTCTGAGCCGTTTCTGAAATATGGAACCGTTCCAGAACTTTTCAACGAAAATGCTGTGTTGTCATATTTCGAAAATCACGTTAATTACGGATCTGATATTCAGGGACTCAAGTAATTAGGAGGCGCTTAATCAATTCCATTAAAAATAAATGGGGTGTTCCATTTGAAAAAATAGAGTTACTCCTAATATCTGAAAAACTGTAAACTTGGCAACATTGCCGATGCCACCATTGAATCGGACATCATCAATAATCACCCTGTAGGAAATTTCGTGGATTTTTCTAAAGACGTTCCTGAAATATGAGACCGTTCCGATACTTTTGAAAGACACTGTATACATTGATAACGCACGCAAGTATTGCACGACGAAGCCGTAGGCATTGCGTATATAATTTCATCTACAACTACTCATGACAATTTCCTGATAATAGGCCATTTCATTGAGATGATAAATGACTATCTGTGTTTACATCTCGCATCCAACGACAGTTGCGGCCATTTTCACTTGCAACATACTCCTCAGTAACGAATAAGTAACGTTTTCTCGATTTAAATTAATATAATACAATTAATACACACCAGGAATATAGAAACGAAAAAACCATATTGTTATTGTTGTTTCTCAATGACGAATCCCCTTTGTGGTTGACACTGTTGACATTTGACAGAACGTCAGTAAAAACCGCCATATTCGAAATGGCCAATCAGAATTTTGTGTCAGAACTATATAGCCAATGAGACTTCACCTTCGTACTACCCAATCAAATTTTGGATCTGAAAACTAGCGCATGCGTCTTAGAAATATATCTATATGAAAAGGCCTATTGAAAACACAAGTTGCCTGTGATCATTTTTGTAACCATTGCAACGGTATGTATAAACAAAGCCGTTTATAGATGTTGAATTAAATTGTCAGATCGATATCCAGAACCATCATTAAGTTTTTCTGCAACCGACACAAAAGTCGTCCATTTTGATACCAAAATCAGCTCTTAAATTGACATTTCTATTACTGACACAAAAATAGATATGTTGCTAGGCAACATATTTAGTTCCTAGGAGCTAAAGTTGAATTTCAGTTCTTAGGAGCTAAAGTTCAACTTTAGCTCCTAGGAACTAAAAAGGATCTACTGGACGTCATCAAGGATGAACAACATTGTGACGGTTTAGGTTATTTGGGTTGAGACGCATAACCGATTTGTTTCCGATTTCAGCAGATTTGGCATTTCATACCCATGCTTATTATAGTTCAGTATTGGAATAATAAACATCTCAGTTAAGTATTTTTGTTTTGATCAGGGAAGCCTTCAAGATTCAAATACTTGCTTGATCTGTATTTCATTCGTTATTCTCGGGATGGATAACTTGTTTTTGAATCACGGCAAGCAATAGTTTTTTTGTCTCAAACAACGATATTGTTTAGCTTCATTTGATCATCAAGTCAAACACAGTGTAGTATGGAGGCGAATAAATAATCACTATTATCATTTTTGATATGCTCACTAACCTAAAATTTTCCACGTCTTGTTCCTATAGCTGGCACTGGCGCGGTATTTGCCATTAGATCACCTAGTCCATACACAAATATGTCACTCTGTGATTGTATTTATATTGAAACTACAATTCGAACATCCTAGAAAACCTAACCTGCTGTTAATGCAGGTGGAATATTCTCACCACATGGATTATTTGTCAATATTTGTTGCATTGCATACATATGCGGCAGGGCATTGGTGGTTACTTCACATGTTTATTTGAGTTAATTGTTTCGGTTGCAGAAAAAATAGCATGTTTCATTCGGATCAAAAATGACTTTGTTCGCCTCGCAAAATTTGCTTTCGCTCGGCTTCGCTAAACGCTCCGCCTCGCAAATGCAAAATTCGCTTGTCAAACAAAGTGTCACTTTTGATCCTAATAAAACAATCTACTATTATCTACAACTGCTTATGACAGTTTCCTGATAATAGGCCATTTCATTAAGATGACAAATGACTATCTGTGTTTACATCTCGCATCCAACGACAGTTGCGGCCATTTTCACCGAAACACTTGCACCACACTCCTCAGTAACGAATAAGTAACGGTTTTTCGATTTAAATTAATAAAATACAATTAATACACACCAGGAATATAGAAACCATATTGTTATTGTTGTTTCTCAATGACGAATTCCCTTTGTGGTTGACACTGTTGACATTTGACAGAACGTCAATAAAAACCGCCATATTCGAAATGGCCAATCAGAATTTTGTGTCAGAACTATAGCCAATGAGACTTCACCTTCGCATTACCCAATCAAATTTTGGATCTGAAAACTAGCGCATGCGTCCTAGAAATATATCTATATGGAAAGGCCTATTGAAAACACAAGTTGCCTGTGATCATTTTTGTAACCATTGCAACGGTATGTATAAACAAAGCCGTTTATAGATGTTAAATCAAATTGTCAGATCGATATCCAGAACCATCATTAAGTTTTTTGAGTGAAAATGTCTTCAAGTGAAGATCATCTACCATCCGATATTGAAAATGCGGCGGCAAGTAGTATTTGATTTTTTTTTTTGTATTCAATCAATAAACGATTTATTTTAGTTAACATTATTTCTTATCTCATTACCGCACTAGTGCGGTGATCAACGTCATTATGACATTCACGGAGAAAAAAAATCACTAACCCTAAGTGAATATATAATAGTGGCAAGTAAAAACTTGTATACTATATGGGACAAGGAAACAAGTTAATAACCACAAGAATATTTGTGTTCCTGAAAATGTACACCTACCACTATTGACCTGTTTCATTAAATTTCAGAGTGATAACGGTTAGTGAACACATCACTTGTCATCAGTGACCTATTCAATTGTCATTAGTGACTCATTCACTTTTCATTAGTGACTTGTTCACTAGTCATTAGTGACTTGTTCACTAGTCATTAGTGACTTGTTCACTAGTCATTAGTGACTTGTTCACTAGTCATTAGTGACTTAATCACTAGTCATTAGTGGCCTAATTACATGTCATTAGTGACTTATCTACTAGTCATCAGTGACTTATTTAGTTGCCAATAGTGACTTATTCACTTGTCATTAGCTAGTATGAAAAAATACCTCCATTGATCTCTGAAAAATGATAAAATCTTGGTAATAAGACAAGAACACATGCATTCAAAACATTTTATTATATAGGTATGATGAATCCAGAAAATACAAAAAAGGTAAGGCTGACGACAAATATTGAGATACTAGATACCGCGTATATCAGCATCATGCACCGAGAAAAACGGTACTCTCACTCACTGCACTGCACTCTGGTTCACTATCTTTTTCCTTCCAGCATTGAAGATGAATCAACTTTCATACTTTTTAAACGTCACTTCCTTCCACTTCGAGTATCATAGGGAGTGGGAAAAAATCCTGTACATATGTAGAAACAATTATATACTGTTCTAGAAGAGTTTTGTATTTCATTATCTCCTTCAAGAGAACAGATCAAGAACTCAACACCCCACAGCTCAGAGCACGGCCACAGAGCACGGTTCACAAACAGAGAATTCTCATACGAATATGATATAGTAGTTGTTCGAAAGGGCACTTGCATGACTTGGAATTTCTATGTTACTAGCGGGAACGCAAGTATACTAACTTCACAAATGCTATGATCGAAATGACGCCGTGGACTCGTGGACACTGGACAGTGATCGCGTTGGGCGTGGGTCGAGGCGTGGGTACTCGAATAATATCGGAGATGTCCGAACAGAAAAGAGATCTATAACTACAGGTGAGCTGTCACCTGCAACAATCGACTTGATAGATTGTCTTTATTGATGAGTTCGCTCAGAGCAAGTGATCTTATATCAGAAAAATAATTTAATAATAGTGAGTATTCGTTAACCTAGCACTAGTTTAGTGTTCACTTAGAATTAGCGAACATATCGACTTGGTTGATACCAACAAGTGTTCTGATCACTTACAGCAGAAACTTCGTTCCAGAAATATAGTTTTGCCTATTGCAAGTACCATATTTTCCTACCGTTGG